AAAACCGCAAATTTATAACAATGTGCACTGTTTCAAGTGGAAAATACAAAATCAAGTGCGATTACAATAGCAAAGACTATGTATTAAAATAATAATACAAAAGTTGTTCATTATTAAATCCTTATTCGGGCGCCAAAAATTATATTACGATATGTAAAAGAAAATTAACATAACTATTTCAGATACTGTGACTAACCTTCTACGGTCCTGTATCAACGTATTTTACTTAATAAAACGCAAAAGAAATAATTATTTTATGTGCAAAAACTAATGCATTTCTTCTAGGAAGGAGCAAGAATTTTCTTAACATCAACTCAAAAATTTATGTACATAGAGTTTTATCTTTTTTACTTCCTTGTACGAGGTAAAGGAAGTATTGTAATCAGGAAAAATTCCGGGTATCATATTTCAACGAAAATATCCATTTTGACTGATATCGAATGCAATTTAAAGATGTTTTTGCCTGACATTTGTACTTAAGGGCAGAATAAAGGACTCTTTTTCCTCAAACGAATTATAATACCCATGTAAAATGGATTTAAAACAGACTTTTTCGTGGCCTTTGTAAATACGTATGTATCTTGCATAACTCAAAAATCAGTAGCTTCAAAACTTTGAAATTTTGTTTATAGGACTGCTATAAAATGTAGTTGTGCACCTCCCTTTTTGGTTGCAATCGGCCACACTAAAAGTATATAAATATATTGCTGCGTTTTTTTTGACACCAATTCGTACGGGTTTCGTGCAGATTTGGAGTGAATAACGACGACATTTAATGAAGTATCGAAACATACTTTATTTAGCCAGTACTAATCAGGACAGCTCCAAAATCACGTTACACTCGTCGAAGAACTACTACAAACACGCTGACACAATCAGCGACACAGCCTTCGCACTGTCAGGCAATAACGGTGGAGACAGCTTCACTGCAAAGCACCAGAGTACATCTCCCGACTCTGCTCGGTCGTTCTCGGAACTCCACGTACTCTCGAGACTCTTCACGCTACAACTCGCAGCGCACTCGACGACACACAGAGCACAGCTCCCGACACACATAGCTGCGGGAACGACTTTCTGGAGCTCAACACGCTCTCTGGCCGATACACTAAGAGACTCTTCGATGCACTCGACAACCATCTCGGCGCTAGACTTAAATATCAGCTCGCTAGCCGAGACACATACTCACTGACTACGGACCAGCAGGGTTTATATAGCTTTCGGCTTGTGTTCGAGAACATTCTGGGCTAAACCGGTAAGAATTCGGTCCTTCCGTCCATGGTATACCGCCAATTTTGTCGCGAAATGTCGCCAAAGGAGCGCTTTTTCGCCAAATGTGGCAACCTTGCCTTCCTTGCTATTTTACGGCAACCCTAAACCTTCTTTGCGGGGAAACTATCTCATCACCCCGTACATTTCGTAACAATATATTTATATATACCCACCATGATACTCGCCTCAGTGAACTTAGTTTTTTTACTCTTATCTGTTGATAAATTGAGTATTTTTTGCTTTAAAAATTATTGAATTATGTTGTTCTTATGTTCCGTTTACTTTTGATGCCTTTAGTGCAATAGTTGTAGAATTATCGACAATTTAAAAGTTGTTTAACCCATTCAGAACCAGCGTAGCGTATACGCGACGCAACGATTCCACTCCTACCAGCCCAGCATCGCGTATACGTGACATTAAAACGGAACGATTTATTTGAATTTTTAAAATCAAGGAAATGGAGCTAAGTGGTAATTGTTTTCACATGGATTGATTCATACGGCATTTGACCCTCATGTACTAGCATTAGTTTCTGTTTTGTGCTTCTGGTTTTGAGAGATTTATTGAAATAAACAAACTGAAAATCACGGATCTTTAAGTGCGCCTGTGAATTAAAGGGCGTTTTTGTTTATTTCGTTAGAATTTTTTTTCTTTTTTTTTTCTATTTATTTTGAAACTTAACATAAGCTTTCTTGGTTAATTAAAAAGTAACATTACAACATTATTACAGAAGGGGAAAGACTATCAGCTTTCTCGACGCGCAATGCGTCTTGCTCGCATTTCTCAGGAAAGAGCCAACGTTTTTGTTTTTCTTATTCGATTTAATAGGTCATTATATATAATGCCTTGAATGGTCATTATATATAATGACAGGTATTATATTTTTGTATATAATGTTTTTACTTTACATATAATGTAATTATATATTGACGTGATCAGTAACGGATATCCCGCCAGTGTGTGTGTGTGGGGGGGGTCTTCCCTTGATCGCTTTCCGATCATCGTGGACGCTGTTTTCGATTTAGAAAACAGGAAGTTTTCTAATATAAACCTGATTTCACACAGTGTTTCAGGAGGAAATATTTCTTGAAGTTTTGTGATATGTGTTGGGGTTATATTCAGTTTTATTTCGTTAGCCATGGCTACGAGACCTTACTTAAAAACTTAAAAATTTGTTCAAAATCACCGGAGACTCCACCTTTCTGTCTAACTGGAAGACAGTTTCCGAAATTTTTCGTTGACGGAGGAGGTAATAAATTACCTACAGGTAATTTTTGTTTAATTTTTTTTTAAATTTCGTATTTGTAATTTTTTTTTCATATTTATAGTATTTAACTCTGTGTATATAATTATGATTTTAGTATTTTTCCTGTTTAATTTATTTCTATTAATATGATATTCTTTATATTAAAACACATTAAAAACAAGTACATTAAATAAGCAAGTTCAAAAATTGAAGTCATAATATCAAAATCCTGATTTTATACTTTTTTTTTTGTAACATTAGGCTTAACTTCTAAAAATAAGCTGGCCGGTAGCGACGATCCATTTCAGAGGGTCGAGTCCCGTAACTCCCGGCATTGGTCCTTAAGGGGTTAAGTGCGGCTAAGCCTATTTTTTTTTTTTTTTTTTTAACCACAGCAGCGATATATTTTTTTTTTAAATTTGAAACTTAGTAGAATAGTGAATTAAGTTTTTCTGCACCTTCAGTGTCTTTTTGCCGAGTAGGACCAAAAGGAAACATTTAGTTTTCTGCACCGAAAAATCTGCCTTCTTGCCTGCTGGCAGAAATGCTTGTTTTTGCTTAGAAACTTTAATTTTAAGTGTAAAAATTGTTTTTTTAAAATTATTTTATCTGTATTTCGTGTTTTATGTTTTTCCATATCTTTCAATTTTTAATGAAGATATTATGAGGTTTTATGTATTTTTACCTTGCCATGAAGTGAGAACTGAATTAATTGAATGAGAAATTGATCTCTAATGAAATTCGAGGAAATAAGATTAAATGACATGCAACAAAAATGTGTATAATTTAATATTCCATACAAGGAACTCATCTGGGGTTCACATCAGAATTATTTTTGCAGTCAGTGAATTAAAAAAGAACATTATAAAATTCCATCAATCCATTCTGGAGAGGGGGGGGGGTAGAAAAAGTTCTCTAACATTTGCCATCAGGTTTTTAACAACCTTGCTTTCAAAATTTTAAACTAAATAAACACGATAAAATAACAGTATTGTACATGAGCGGTTACGTAGCAACGGCTAAATTAGAATAAATGATTTTGTTCGTTTTTGAACTTGAACCTGAGTAAATATATGTCTTTAATTTTTATTTTAACTTCTTAAACCTGATGAAATGTGCTTCTTGAACATGAACATATGTTAATAATTGTTCATGAAAAATAAGACATTCTCTGAAAAATAATCCCTAGAACTTCTCTTGGAGCAAAAATTAATATAAGATCAAGTTAGAGTTTATATAAGATCTTATTTTTGGGAAAGCATTGTCGACTGTGGGTTAACTTTTATCCCTGGATTACATGATCATAAGTTAACAGAAACGGAAAAGTTCAAAGGAAAATTCTTGGCAGAAGAAGACATATGTCCGTTTCTAACAAACTCCTCTTATACTATAAATCTATACTTCGACCAGCATTACTCTATGCTAGTCCTGTCTGGGGCCACGCTGCCAAAACTCACCTTCACCCAAGTTCACCCACGCTGCCACCCAAGTTCTTCAAAACAAAGCACTCAGAGAGATCATCAACGCGCCATGGTTTCATTCCAAATTCTTATATTCCACCGTGATCTCAAATAGATACAATACACGAGATTATATTCAAAAACTTGCCAGAAATTTCTTCTATTCATTTCTCACTAATCCTAACAACTGCATCAACTCTCTTAGATGCTCTCCATTTCCCAGAGAAAAGCACAAATATCCATCTGACATTCTCCATCCTTAACATTTTTTACTTATACTAGATTCTTCAATTTCCTGATTTGGACCTTTAACCAGACACTCACCTTTTTCGTCGACTGATGGCGGGCACCTGACTTTTACTTTCGTCTTTTTGTTTTACTGATGTTCTTTACGTTATACAGAGTAAAAGGAGGCGCTGCTTTCTGAAACTTCTTAGTTAGTCAAAGGAAAAAAAAAAAAAAAAAAGTTACATTACCTTCAGATTTAAAAGTTATATATTCTATCTCGGAAGTCTAAGGTAAATAATTAAATTCCTTTAATATAAATTTATAAATTCTTAAATATAAATTTATGTTTTTCTTTTATGCAAAAGTGTGTAAACGATAGTAAAATTTCAATTATCAGTACGAGAGGAAAAAGCTTAACTACTTTTTTTGTTTCTTTTGCTGCGATAATTTTCGACTGATGATGATAAGACGAGAATATCACTTATCGTGATGATTGCAAACAATGAAATTTTTAATAGCGAAATTTACTTTCTTTTTCGATTCAAAAATTATTATATTTTTGAGAATTATAGCCTGAATTAAAGCTCTTTAGAAAAAAATAATTTCATATTCTCTCCGTATTTTGTTTAATTTAAGATAGTGTGAATGCTGAAACATGATATAATGAAAAAATTAATATATTGAAGAATTAATTTTAATTTTTAGTCGATGTTTTTAGAATTAAGAGAAATGATAAAAACTTTAGTTTTTAGTTTTTAGACAGTTTATTATAAATGAATTTGGCAACAAGTGTGCTTTGTTTAGAAAGACAAATAGCAATGATCTGAATGCGTTCTGTGTTGTGCAATTATTAATTTACATGTGTTATAAACTATAGTTGCGAAATGAGGATAACTGCTGATATAATAGATGAAGAACTGTACCCAGATGATCAGTTACCAATAAACGTACTAATTCTTTTTATTCAATTTCATTTGTTTGAAGAATATGTGGTGTCTAATTGAAGTTATTTTAATAATTTGTAAAAATCTTAAAAGTACAAAATTTTGTTAAAATTAAGAAAGAGTATCGATAATTATATCGACTTCTATTTATAGGTAAACGTTTTATATTGTAGTTTGAGTTGAATTTTCATAAACTTTCCGCAGAAGATGAAATCTGAAGTATTTTCTGTAAGAAAGTTAATACGCTTTATGTACACTTATTATGACTATATAATAGTGGTTAATGTATGTTTGGAGCAATCAATAGACTTTTTTCATAAACCTGTTCAGTTTCCTAGACTATTAAGATTTAATATATCATTGAGGAAAACTTATGTCTGTTGATTCTGATGTGTTATGCATTAATATAGCTAAGACGTTTTGAGTTCACTAATCTCTATTTAGCAGAGTTTCATTAAAGACTCATAAGTCAACTATGAAATGTTTTTTGAACAACTGAGAGAGTTTTGTGTAACTGAAGTGGAACAAAAATTAGCAATCTTCGCAGACATTTGAAATTGAAGTGTTTAAAAAGAATTTACATCTTTTCCCAGCTGTATTATGCAAAAGTGATAATAATTTCTTTTAACATTGCCTCTGTTTTGCTAATAAAACTCATATAAATTTTAATTGATTCCTGAAGAATTAAAGTTTAGGAATTGGTTTAGTCATAATATCTGTAACCATTTGCTCTGTTGAAAGATAAGACTTTAACAGTGCTTTTGTTATGCAAGTTGCATACATAAAGAAATTTTGCATCAATGTGTTTTGTATGCGAACTGTACTTTTCAGATTCTATAAGTTTCATTTTCGATTGATTATCATAAAAAAGCTTTTATCAGTAAAGTTTGCGTGTATATTCAAACTTATATTAGTTTTAATAGCCACAGTAATTCTTGCCTAGTTTACAAAAGTACAACATATTCAGCTTCTTCTGAGGATAAAGAGACATTTCTTTTCATGAAAACCATGAAGTGCAATTGCTTCCTAATAAAATTACACTTCCTGATGTGGGTTTTTTATTTTCAGCATCTTGTCCCTAGTCTATATCTAAATAAATTACAAGATTAGGTTCTTCGTTTGGTGAAATATGTAGAGATAGATGTTTTGTTGCATTTAAATATCTATGATTCTTTCTACAGAGTTTTGATGTAGATTATTACATCTTTTGCTAAGTATATAAGTCGATACTGTGATATCTGCTCTTGTGATAGATGATACATACAAAAGACTTCTGATAGCGTGGTGAAATTTATCAGTTGAAAGTAGAAGATTTTTGTTCCTTGTTTAAACTAATAGTTCAATTCCATTGGCGTACTACTAGATTTTGCTTCTTCAAGTTGAATTTGCTTGACAAGTTAGTCTCTTTTATTTTTCTGTGGTAAGAGATAACTTCCATCTTCTTTTCAGTTTATTTCCATGCTTAAGAAATATTTAGGTTTACTAAGATGTGTTATTTGATGGCATTTCTTTAAATAGATAATTACTTGAAGAATTAGTCTTTCTTTAGAACTTATTAGAATATCATCAACATACGTAATAACATTAATTCTTTTGTCATGATCCCCTTTTGTAAAAAGACATGATCTGCTTTGATTTGATTGAGCCCGATAATCTTCAGTATATTTTCCTTTTCTACCAGCACCTAGCTGTTTGAGATCATAAATTGACTTCTTTAATTAAAAAAAATTTTTTCTTTCGGAATTGCGAATCCTTCTGGTTGTTCCTTGTATATTTCATCATTTAGCTTGCCACGCAGAAATTCTATTTCAACATCTAGTTCATGAACTTTTGCATTATTATGTACTGCATATGCTAAGAAATCTATGATTCTAGTGTGCTTCAGTACTGGTGAAAATGTTTTGTCATAATCATTGCTGTATTGAGTAAATCCTTTTGCTATTAATCTCGCTTTGTATTTTATCTTCTTATCATTTTTATAATATTTAAACACCCATCTGCTTCTTACTGCATCTTTTTCTGGTGGTAAATCTCTAAGCTGATAAGTTTTGTTTTCTTTCAGAGAATTTATTTCTTCTTTCATCACCTTCATCCAAGCTTCTTTGTTCTTATTTTGGTAAGCTTAAAATTTTTTCAAAGCTTTCTGAGTCTTTATTTCTTGATAATGTTGATCTTTAGTCTTCTGCTTTATAGGAGAATCTGTCAGTGGAATATCCTTAGTTTTTCTGTTTAGAAATCGTTCTTTCTACATTTTCTTCGGCACATTTAATTAATTCTTCAGATCTGTTTGAATCTTTTGTAAAATCATTCGCAAGAGATTTTTCTTTATCACTTTCCAAAATATCGAAATGAGTTAATTCTGAATCTTCAGTCCTGTTTTCTACATGTTGCCAGATAGGGGCACCTTTTTCAGAAAACTTAACAGTTCTGTTTAATATTTTGCTTCAGCCTATGTCAATCCTGTATTCTTTACTTCATAAATTATGTTCCACAAGCATTCCTTCTTGCGCTTTTTTGTTGAATGTTTGTCACTTGTTTGTTCACGAAAAAAGTTTTGCAGCCTAATACTTGTAAGTGATTAAATTTGATTTCTTACCATTACATAATTCATATGGTGTTTTAATCATGGCTTTTGTTGGTAACTTATTTTGAAGGTCTATAACAGTAACTATTTCTTAAACCCAGTAACCTTTCAGTAATTCTGAATTTATTAGCATTGCTTTAGTCATTTCTATTAAAGAATGCTTTTTTTTTTTTTTTTTCCTTTCTACTATGTTGTTCTGTACTGGATAATAAAGAACTGAAGTTTAATGAAAAATATTAAGTTTTATTCAGTACTTTCATTGCAGTATTATGTATCATTGTCAGATCTGAGAACTTTTATTTTCTTTCTAATTTATTTTTTTTTTTTTTTGATGCAACAAACTGTTTATCTAATACTTCATCCTCTGAAGCAAGAAAATAAATACAGTCAAAAGTCGTTAATCCGGACTCGTCGGGACTTTGGCGATTCCGGATTATAGATCATCAGTTTAAATCTGGTAAGATGGCATGCAGAAACTATAAAATTAAAAATATGAAACCGTAATTTATGAAATAAAGAACAATTATGATCTAAAGGGTATAAAAATTTACAAAAAAAAAAAGCTTAATATTTATTTGTTTACTTTATTAAACATTTCTTTCAATGTAAGTTGTTTAAGTTGCTTCGTTTTATGTGATACAGTCAAAAGTCTTTAATCCGGACTCGTCGAGACTTCGGCGATTCCGGATTATCGATTTTTCCGGATTATAGATCATCAATTTAAATCTGGTAAGATGACATGCAGAAATTATAAAATTAAAAATATGAAACCGTAATTTATAAAATAATGAGCAATTATGATCTAAAGGGTATCAGAATTTACAAAAAAAGAAGCTTAATATTTATTTGTTTACTTTATTAAACATTTCTTTCAACGCGCGCATGCGTACCATACCCATAGCCGAAATTAGAAAATTGCAACCAGAAAACTATTTGATTTGTATTCGTGATATTTATAATGACGAATTTAATTTAAATCGTATCAAAGACGGAGTACATCGAGATTAAATACTACATTTAGTAAGGAATTATAAGCCGAATAAAATAAAAACATCTGCCCTGAAGATAAGGATAGTGCTGACAGATCAACTTCCAGTTCATTGTGCGATGTGACGTCCCCCCTGCGCAGAGCAGCGTGAAATTGATAAACAGATTTCGGAACGGTTAGATAAACAAAGGATATACCTTTATCCATTTTTTGTAGCAATTCGTTTTTTGTTTGATGGACATCGAAACATACTTTCAATTTCTAGATCCTTTGGGAGCTCCAGCATCGGAAATTCTATTTGACATAATTGAAAGTTAAAGCTTACTTTTATAAAATTGCTCTTACAGTCTGCAAAAAATAATAAGCCGGATCCAATTCGAAGATTAAGGAACAACGCAATCATCAACATTAACTGAAATAGATAATTAGATAATTTTAGCTTATACCATTCGTTATACATTAAACGCGCACGCGAAAACGTATTCTGCGCTTGCGCCGACGCATATGCGCAGTCGTAAATGTCTTGCGCGCACGCGTAAAATGCCTATGAGCATGCGTCAACGCGGCGCATGCGCAAAAAGATTTTAGCTTTGAGGTCCGGATTATAGATCATTCCCGATTATGGGTGTCCGAATTAACGACTTTTGACTGTAATACTTTCTCTTTAATTCTATAAACAGACATAATTTCTTCAGTTACAAAGTTCCGCTGTTCAAGTCCTATAATTGCTGTGTTGAGAACACCGACTAATTTGTCAATCGAAATTTTTGCGTTTTCAATAACCTCTGTGTCACTTTCTTCACTATCGGAAGCGATTTATAATGACGAGAAATTTGATTTAAATCGTATCAAATGCGGAGTACATTCAGATGAAATACTACATTTAGTAAGGAATTATAAGCCAAATAAAATAAAAAACATCTTCCCTGAAGATAAGGATAGTGCTGACAGATCAACTTCCAATTCATTGTGCTACAAACTTTCTGCGCGTAATACCTTTACGCATGCGTGTTTTAATGTATAACGGACGGTATAAGCTAGGCTAAAATTATCTATTTCAGTTAATGTTGATGATTGCGTTGTTCCTTAATCTTCGAATTGGATCCGGCTTATTATTTTTTGCAGACTGTAAGAGCAATTTTATAAAAGTAAGCTTTAACTTTCGATTATGTCAAATAGAATTTCCGATGCTGGAGCTCCCAAAGGATCTAGAAATTGAAAGTATGTTTCGATGTCTATCAAACAAAAAACGAATTGCTACAAAAAATGGATAAAGGTATATCCTTTGTTTATCTAGCCTTTCTGAAATCTGTTTATCAATTTTATGCTGCTCTGCACATGGGTGTGGGGATGTCGCGGCGTGCAACAAACTGGAAGTTGATCTGTCAGCACTATCGTTATCTTCAGGGCAGATGTTTTTATTTTATTCGGCTTATAATTCCTTACTAAATGTAGTATTTAATCTCGATGTACTCCGTCTTTCATATGATTTAAATTAAATTCCTCGTCATTATAAATATCACGAATACAAATCAAATAGTTTTCTGGTTGCAATTTTCTAAGTTCGGCTATGCGTAAGGTACGCATGCGCGCTTTGAAAGAAATGTTTAATAAAGTAAACAAATAAAAATTAAGCTTCTTTTTTTTGTAAATTTTGATACCCTTTAGATCATAATTGCTCATTATTTTATAAATGACGGTTTCACGTTTTTAATTTTATAATTTCTGCATGCCATCTTACCAGATTTAAACTGATGATCTATAATCCGGAAAAATCGATAATCCAGAATCGCCAAAGTCCCGACGAGTCCAGATTAAAGACTTTTGACTGTATTTTCTATGTGTGTATCAATATCAGAAAAGTATGAAAATATCAGAAAAGTCAATAATAATAGGAATAGTAAATTTTGCTAAATTTAAATATTCAGTCTTTTGTGGCCTTTAATTACTTTATAAAACAGTTTCAGAATAAAATTTAACAGTAACGCTTTTCCCTTCAAAAACATTTCACTACATTCACTTGTAAAAAGTAAATTCTTAAATGTTTATTTTTTGTTAAATTAAAAAAAAAGTGATTACAGTCAAAAGTCGTTAATTCAGACACCCATAATCCGGACCTCAAAGCTAAAAACTTTCTGCGCATGCGCCGCATTGACACATGTGCATAGGTGTTTACGCATGCGCGTAAGACCTTTACGACTGCACATATGCATGTGCACAAGCGCAGAATACGTTTTCGCGTGCGCGTTTTATGTATAAGGGACGGTATAAGCTAAAATTATCTATTTCAGTTAATGTTGATAATTGCGCTGTTCCTTAATCATTGAATTAGATCCGGCTTATTATTTTTTGCAGACTGTAAGAGCAATTTTATTAAAGTAAACTTGAACTTTCGATTATGTCAAATAGAATTTCCGATTGAGCTCCCAAAGGATCTATAAAACGAAAGTATGTTTCGATGTCCATCAAACAAAAAGTGGAATTGCTGCAAAAAATGGATAAAGACATGAAGAAGGTGACAGAGAGGTTAGTGAAAACGAAAAAATTTCGATTGACAAGTTAGTCGGTATTCTCGACACAGTAATTACGGGACTTGAACAGCGGAACTTTGAACAAGAAATTATGTCTGTTTATAGAATTAAAGAGAAAGTATTATCACATAAAACGAAGCAACTTAAACAACTTACATTGAAAGAAATGTTTAATAAAGTAAACAAATAAATATTAAGCTTTTTTTATGTAAATTTTGATACCCTTTAGATCATAATTGTTCTTTATTTTATAAATTACGGTTTCATATTTTTAATTTTAGAATTTCTGCATGCCATCTTACGAGATTTAAACTGATGATCTATAATCCGGAAAAATCAATAATCCGGAATCGCCGAAGTCCCGACGAGTCCGGATTAACGACTTTTGGCTGTATTAGTTTTTGTCTTAGAATGATCTTTGATACTTTGTCATTAAAGCATCCACTGTGCATAATTGCCAAAATTGGCAGTCTTAATCACCAGTCTGTAATATGCTAAATGAAAATGTTGCCAAAGGCTTATGCAGTAGTTGCTTTAATAAAAAAGCACCTGATCTTCTGTTTTTAATCTATTAGAAACTTTCTATAAAAATTGTGTCTTGTACTAAAATATTGTATCAAAGCAATCTTGCAATGTATCATAAAACACTGAATGTGCAAGCATGAGAAGAAACAAATCCACATCCCCCCCCCCCCCGAAAAAAAAATAGCAATGATTCTACATTATTTTATTTAGACTTATCAAGAAAACTGCTATTTAACTAAGCAGTTGCTAATATTCTGAAATATCGTGGAGAAGAAAAATAATTTTTATCTTGAGGTTTTCAAGATAACTGAGAATTTATTAGTACTCATAAATTGTTCCTAGGATATACAATTTAACATGATAAAAAATCAGTGGTTTGCAGTTGACTGATTTTCTCTTACTTTAGACTAGCAGGTTAATTTTATTGCATTTAAATTCAAATGAATTTTTGCTATTAAACCAAATAACATGTATTTCTAGTTTTCTGAGATATTAAAAAAAAGAATCACTAAAAAAGTAAAAACAGTTAAATATTTAACAGTGACTTATTCTTAACATTTTGGGGAACTTTTCAGGACCACATGTGTAATGCTTGGAGGGTTAAAATAAATTAACCCATTTATGATTCTGTGCAATACATGCCACTAAAGAACAGTATAATCCTTATATTACAGAAACAGTTATTAATTACAAAAGCAGAAATTCACCACCACATAACAAATGCAAGTGAGCCTTCTCTTGGGTATAAAATTAATTCAAGACTATTTGGTTTCAAATTATATTAAAATTTCTTTTAATTTCTTAATTGTGAGTGGAAAAATTGCTAAAAAATATTCAGAAGATTTCTTTGCCATAATTTTTTGTACTTCGTCAGATTTATATGCTGAAAGAAATTGGGCATTCAGTCTTGATTATGCGGGATGATATTAAATTCGTATAGAAAGTTCCAAATTTTTTTAGCATTTTTTTCGCATTTAGTATTATTCCAACATGTAAGTTTATTGTTATTTTTTCTTTCCAATATAAATTTCAATTCTTTGAAGTCTGAATAATTTTATTGCTTAAATTTTTTTAAATTATTTTTCATGTTTTCATAGGTTGATGACCCATTGCCAACTTTAAGAGAAACTGTCATAAATGCTAATAATAATAATGTATGCCAGTTTGAAAAAGTACATGAAATGACCCAACAGTTTAAAACTCTACGCGTATCTGATATACTTGCCAGGGTAAGTAATTTCACATAGCATACCTTACTTTCATTTTTATGATTCCCCCACCCCATTTTTGGCAAGACTAAGGTTTTTGATGGCAAAAAATAACTTCATTCTTTTTGCTTCAGATTTGACTAAATAAAAATCTTTAAAGCCGTTTAACTGAAAGATAAAGAATAAGTATAGGCAGGGGAATGGCCTGAGTACCTAGGCACCACCCCAACATGGAAAACTCCAAATATAAAGCAATTTAAGAACTTCTAATAATTAAAAACCACAAAAATAATTTTATTAGAAATATTTTTTAAATTTCGGTACATTGATTTTGTATATGGTATAAATTTTATTAATTAACATGGATTTAACATAGAACTCAGTGGCTCTGTTCTTAGTGATAAAAAGATAAATGCCAAAGATGGGAACTATAAGAAGTAGAAAAAGAAAAATTCCTGCATTTCCAGAAAATTTTAACTTCGTGAAACGGAAGTGCATTCTTTGTTAACCTGAGTCATAAAAACTCTTGTTATTTTTATAGTTCTTAATGGCCCCAGCATTGAATACTTTTTTCGCCTTTAAAAAAAAAAAAAAAAAAAAAAAAAAAAAAAAGATTGTGTTTTGATGATTTTCAAATAATTACTTTCTTTTGCATTAAATCATATTTAAGTTTCAGAAAATATAAAAACGGTTCCTTTTTATTTAAGCAAATGATTAAAGTTTTAATTATTTCAGTACAGTAAATTTTATTTTGTTCATATTTTTATTTTCAGCAAATTTTATTTTTTTTTTTTTAATTCTTTTATTTTAGCTCTGTAGTTAGTTATCTGTTTTTTGAAATATTTAAACTATTTACCTTTGTCATTTCCCTGAAAAAAAGGTTTGAAGGTGAAATTTTAAAATTCGGAAGTTCACGAGGTCATCTTTTTTGATGCTATAGATTTTAAAAATATATATTAAATATTATATCTTCATTGCTAACATTTTTAAGAGCTAGTTTAGTTCTGGATTATTGTGTAAGAACTTCCATTTGAATTTCTTTTATTTACCACTTAAATTCTTTTCATCCACCACAAGTCCACCTAAATTTTTTTTAATATTTTCTCCTGAGCGTGAATTTGCAGTAAATTTAGATTTTGATCCCTCACTTAATTAAAAAAGATTCTTTGAAAGAATTCTGATATATAACAGAATCTAATTAAGTGGTAAATAGCTTTTTTTTTTCGTAGCTGCTTTTTTAAAGAAAAAAAAATCTGAATTTCTGTTTGTTATCAGCTTAAAATCATTGTGTGCAGTAAGCACCTAAGTCATACACATGTCATTGTAATTCATGTGTATAAATTAGTTTTAATTTATGAAATATTATTATACACTTCGTGCTAATTTCGTCATAACTGAATAAATTCCTTATATACTCCAGACAGCAGTTCTAACTGGGGGGGGGGAAAGAAAGAAAAGAGGGTGTCTAAAACTAGGGAATAATAGGCATATACTATTACAGTCAAAAGTCATTAATTCGGACACCCATAATCCGGAATGATCTATAATCCGGACCTCTAAGCTGCAAACTTTCTGCGCATGCGTCAGGTTGACACATGCGCGTAAGACCTTTACGGCTGCGAATATGCTTGTGTGCGTGCGCAAAATACGTTTACGAGTGCTTGTTTAATTTATAATGGACGGTATCAGCTAAGGATAAAATTATCTAATTATCTATTTCAGTTAATGTTGCAGATTGCGTTGTTCCTTAATCTTCGAATTGGATCCAGCTTATTATTTTTTGCAGACTGTTAGAGTGATTTTATAAAAGTAAGCTTGAACTTTCGATTATGTCAAATAAAATTTCTGATATATATTTACTAATATGAAAGGATCTACAAAACGAAAGTATATTTCGAAGTTCATTAAACAAAAAGTGGAATTGCTGCAAAAAATGGATAAAGGCATATTCTTTGTTTATCTAAACTTTAACGTGCGGCGGGGGGCGCGCAATGAATTGGAAGTTGATCTGTCAGCACTATCCTTATCTTCAGGGCAGATGTTTTTATTTTATTTGGCTTATAATTCCTTATTAAATGTAGTATTTCATCTCAATGTACTCCGTCTTTGATATGATTTAAATCACATTCCTCCTCAGTATGATTCGCTTTTGATAGCCAAGAAAGTGACAAAGGTTATTGAAAACGAAAATATGTCAATTGACAAATTAGTCGGTAGACACAGCAATTATAGGACTTGAACAGCGAAACTTTGTAACTGAACAAGAAATTATGTCTGTTCATAGAATTAAAGAGACTGTATTATCATGTAAAAAACGAAGCAACTTAAACAACTTACATTGAAAGAAATGTTTAATAAAGTAAACAAATAAATATTAAGCTTTTTTTTTGTAAATTTTGATACCCTTTAGATCATAATTGTTCTTTATTTCATAAATTATGGTTTCATATTTTTAATTTTATAATTTCTGCGTGCCATCTTACCAGATTTAAACTGATGATCTATAATCCGGAAAAATCAATAATCCAGAATCGCCGATGTCCCGACGAGTCCGGATTAACGACTTTTGACTGTATTACCAAATTTAAAAACGAATACAGTCAAAAGTCTTTAATCCAGACTCGTCTGGACTTCGGCGATTCCGGATTATAGATCCTCAGTTTAAATCTGGTAAGATGGCATGCAGAAATTATGAAATTAAAAAGTGAAACCGTCATTTATAAAATAATGAGCAATTATGATCTAAAGGGGTATCAAAATTTACAAAAAAAAAAAAAAAAAAAGCTTAATATTTATTTGTTTACTCTATTAAACATTTCTTTCAATGCGTGCAGGCATAAAGCATACATTACGCATACTCCAAATTAGAAAATTGCAAACAGAAAATTATTTGATGTGTTAAGACACAATAACACGCTGAATAAATACTAATTCAGAAGTCAAACAACAAAAATCAGCGTTATATTTACCAAATTTTCACAGGACTAGTTTCGAATGTTTTACCGAACCACCATCTTCAGCTGCAAAACCGCAAATGAACCAGATAGGAAATAATGATTAGATAAGATAAGAAAGCCTGGACAAGAATAAGCAAGTGGCGCCATCTGTTGGTGAAACCAGAACTAAAACATAATTTCTTTAAAGGCCGAAGGCAAATTTGGATTGGAATTAGGATCGTTAACTAGAACAGAAAGATTTTTATGAATGTGAAATGCCTCTAGAAAATCCAGTTCTCCAATGGAAGATGTTTTTTGAATAATTTTGGCAGCAGAAAAAACTGAAAGTGTGGTTTTCGGACCAACAATGTTGAGCAACAGAAGACTTCTGTGTTTCCTTTTTTCTAACATATGCCTCATGTTCCTTGACGCGAAATTTTAAGGCTCTCTTAGTTTGCCCAATGTAAATTAAACCACACTGGCAAGGAATCCTATAAATACCTCAGGAATTCATATCCGGAATGGGGTCCTTGAGTATGGAACTCGGAATTTTATTGATGGGAGAATAAACAACCCGAAAGTTAAATTTCTGCAAAATATGTGCAACTTTATAGCTAATTGATGGAAAGAAGGGAATGACAACAGAATTTTTATAATCTCCTAAAACAAGAGTGTGCCTTTTAGTGTGTTGAGATGAGAATTTTTTAACTGCTTGATTAATAATGTTGGGTGGAAAGCCCCTGTCAATAGCTATTGCTTTTAAATAATTTAGTTCTTCATCAAGGGCTAGTTTGGAGGAGCAAACTTGAAGAGCACGGAAAACATAGGAATAAAATGAAGCTAACTTTTGTTTAGTCGGATGACATGATTTAAAGTATGAAAGTATCTGAAAAAAGCTTTCAAGTTCAGTAAAGTTTCAGATTCACAGAAAGAAATGATTAGGCATCTTATCGCTCATAATGTGAAATTCAATAATAAACCTTTGAAACCAAATCTAACTGCGAGAGAAAGAGCTACATTGCGATAAATTCATTCTAACCCGAATATTATTATTTCAAAGGCCGACAAAGGTGTCCAGATAGTCGTCATGGATAGGAACACTTACATCGATGGTGTCACTAAACTCTTAAACGAAGGACCATATAATCCGATCCCTAAAGATCCTTCACCTTCGGATTTGTCAAAAATGAAAAACTGCGATCAAATCTTCGCAAATCATTCAGGCAACTTAAAACATTCACTTATCCCATCTGTTGCGAATTGTGCCAGAATTATATGCTCTTCCCAAAATTCATAAAAGTGGTATTCCTTTCCGCCCTATTGTATCAATTTAGGTACTGCCTGCCTCGTATCCATTAGCTAAATATTCAGTTTCTAGATTTTCAACTCTATTAGACAATAACATTTACACCATAAAAAATTCAATAGAGTTTGTAAAAAAGTTAAAAACATTTCTCCTAGTAATTTACTCATGGTTTCTTTTGATGTAAAATCATTATTCACCAATGTCCCAGTGGAGGGTGCATTAAGATGTCTAGAAACCAGACTTCGCGAATTTCATTCTCTTGCATCGAAATTGATGAGCTAATTTCTCTCACTCAAACTCTGTTTGAAACAAACACATTTTGTTTTCCAAATAAATATTACAAGCAAACTGAGGGATTAGCCATGGGAAGCCCCCTCAGTCCCATCCTGGCTGATATCTACATGCATTATTATGAATCAAAATTGTTTGAAACTTTAAACTTCCCGGCATGGTTCCGCAACGTAGACGATACTTTTACTCCTGTTTGAAGGTAATAAAGATGATTTAAATAAAGTTCTTTCAACAATGAATTCTATTGATCCTGCTATTCAGTTCACTTTTGAACTTGAGACTTGCAATTCTCTTCCGTTTCTCGACATTCTGGTCACACGTAACACATCCAACTTCAGTACTACGGTTTACCGTAAACCTTCATTGGTTTGCCTTCCACCACACTTTAAATCATGTCATCCGACTAAACAAAAGTTAGCTTCATTTTATTCCTATGTTTTCCGTGCTCTTCAAGTTTGCTCCTCCAAACTAGCCCTTGATGAAGAACT